CTGTTGAATGATGATGATGATGATGATGACTGGTTTATTTGCAACACGTGCTCAGACATACCGTTGCAGCCTTATCTGGCTGAATTAGGGCATGATACAAATCTTGTGTAATTCTTAAAATCCATCACATGTCTATACCCTTACAGACAAGGCACTATTACTAATTCATCAAAATCAATTCTACAAATATAGGCTAAAAGACAAGGTGAGTACTGGTTAAAATTCATTAAATAGCTTTACAGTAAAAGCTATTGATTAAAATCCATTCTACTTTACTTGAAGTCATCCCCGTTGTTGTACACGTGGTTGTCAGCGTGCTGCAGGCTGTTGAAGTCATCCCCGTTGTTGTACACGTGGTTGTCATCGTGCTGTAGGCTGTTGAAGTCATCCCCGTTGTTGTACACGTGGTTGTCAGCGTGCTGCAGGCTGCTGAAGTCATCCCCGTTGTTGTACGCGTGGTTGTCAGGGTCGTCGTGCTGTAGGCTGTTGAATGATGATGATGATGATGATGACTGGTTTATTTGCAACACGTGCTCAGACATACCGTTACAGCCTTATCTGGCTGAATTAGGGCATGATACAAATCTTGTGTAATTCTTAAAATCCATCACATGTCTATACCCTTACAGACAAGGTACTATTACTAATTCATCAAAATCAATTCTACAAATATAGGCTAAAAGACAAGGTGCGTACTGGTTAAAATTCATCAAACAGCTTTACAGTAAAAGAGACCTATTGATTAAAATTTATTCTACTATACTTGAAGTCATCCCCGTTGTTGTACACGTGGTTGTCAGGGTCGTCGTGCTGTAGGCTGGTGAAGTCATCCCCGTTGCTGTACGCGTGGTTGTCAGGGTCGTCGTGCTGTAGACTGTTGAATGATGATGATGATGATGATGACTGGTTTATTTGCAACACGTGCTCAGACATACCGTTGCAGCCTTATCTGGCTGAATTAGGGCATGATACAAATCTTGTGTAATTCTTAAAATCCATCACATGTCTATACCCTTACAGACAAGGCACTATTACTAATTAATCAAAATCAATTCTACAAATATAGGCTAAAAGACAAGGTGAGTATTGGTTAAAATTCATTAAATAGCTTTACAGTAAAAGAGACATATTGATTAAAATCCATTCTACTTTACTTGAAGTCATCCCCGTTGTTGTACGTGTGGCTGTCAGGGTCGTCATCGCAGTCATCAAGAACAACTCCGGCAATCTCGGTTTCCCCGGGTCTGGCAGGACCCTTGGGTTGTTCTATGCATCCGTGAATAGTTTCGTCAGGTTGGTAAGACGCCGAGAAAAAGATACTCTTTTTTTTTACACAACCAAGTCTTATATTCAGCCGTCGTTTCGGTGACCGTCTGTCACCTTCTTCAGGGCATTCTGACTGGTTCACATTGCTTTGCAGCAGAGGTGTAGATATGTAAATATTGTACATTTGGGAATGCATCTGTAGCAGCGACACCTGTGCTGCAGTGCAGTGTGAAGTCAGAATTGCCCTGAGGAAGGTGACAGACGGTCACCGAAACGTCGGATGAATATAAGACTTGGTTGTGTAAAAAAAGAGTCTCTTTATAAGTTACTCTTGTTCTATGCAGTACAGTGGGGAGGGAGAAGGTACTTTTGAGAAATTCATATCCAAAAGGGGGAATTATTGAACATTTTTGCATTAAAAAATGAAATATTTCAGTTGAAAGAATCTTCGAGTGGGTATGATTTACTTTTCAACATATTTGTGCAGTTATCTCACATTTTTCTGGTTGTCAATAAAACAGCCCACACAACCGCACTTACTTTCTGGATTGGTTCGAGCGGGAGCTCGAACTAAGTAAGTAAGTAGGTACCCTAACCAGCCAAGGCAATTATGGTTGTTATTATCATAGTAAAGACATATTATCAGTGAAAACGCTTCTTTGAACAAATTATAAAAGAAAATATTGTTTGATATAGTTGACTGATCGCGATGAGACCCCTGAAAATCATCGCTTTAGAAATTTATCCTCACTTGCCCCAGACTACTGTTTTGAATACAAAGAGATGATTTTTCTTTTGATACGAGGTACAAGCTGCGGATTGAATATCAGGGATGAAAATCACCACTTGTTTTGACATTTATCCTCACTTGCCCCAGACTAATGTTTTGAATATAAAGAAATGGCTTTGATACGAGGTACAAGCTGCGAATTGAATGCCAGGGACGAAAACCTAAAACCTTGCTAGATAAGGTTTCAGAGACATTTCTCTGTCTTTAATATAGTCTCGGAAGGGCACTATAAAGGTGCGAATAAATCGTAACATGTAACACATATGCTTTAAGCTATGCAAATTAAAGTCTCGGCAGGGCAACATAAAGGTTTAAAAACAAGTGGCCTATGAGTATCCGTACTTCACACTTATATTTCATCAACGAACCGTTTCTAACTCTTCGTCCTTCCATCTATTCCTACAACACTGTAAATATTGAAATATTATATATTTGAATGACCTCTGGCCTCCTACCATACTGAGTTATATTGTTACTTTTTTTTATACTGTCATAAGCCTAGGTTATGGATTGTAAATATAAGAGATTTCTGTGATTTGTGACTTTATTGTGTTGTGATGTGTGTATGTTTATGTATGTATGAATGTATTTTATAATGTGGGGCCCGAAAACAGCAACTTCAACTCCTCCAGAGCAGGGCTGCCAGGATAATCCTGAGAAGGGTTCGAACTGCGCTCGAGTGTAAGCGAACTACACCAGATACTGGGTTGGAGACCACTAGAGGAAAGGAGAACCCACCATACCTGCACAATGGTCTACAAGTGTCTACATGGACTTGCACCTGATTACCTGCTACACTGTTTCAGCTACAACCACCAAACACATCAGTACAACACAAGACAAGCGAATCTACTGCGTAAACCCAAATACACAAACAGAACTGGACAGAGAACATTTAAGTACAGAGCAGCTTCAGCCTATAACTCGCTTAACACGGTGGCTAAACAGGCATCAACAATAAATGCCTTTAAAGTAGCGCTAAGAACATACGACCTCTGACCCTGACCTCACGGACAACCGACTGTCATTATTTGACAATACGACTATGCCTAACGATTTTGACTATTTGTTTTGGTTGTTCCGTTGTGTTTGTATGATTGATTATTTGTACCCTCTGTTTATATTATCTATTGTCATTTGCCACGATTGATCATTTGATTAATCTGTTTTATTTTGTTTAATTTTATTGTATTATTGTATGTTGTCCAATGTGTATGTTCTGTTGGGCTACCTTGGAAATCAGTCTTTCAGAGACTGAAGGTACCACCCAACTGTTTTTTAAGAGCAATAAATAAATAAATAAATCAGCTCAGCTGCCAGGGCTTCCACTGTATTGCAGTGTTCGCAATTTAAATAATAATAAATAAATCCGTACGTACTACCACGTTATGGCAACGCGCACGTAAAGAGGTGGTAAAGTTGCGGAAAGGAGGAAACACGTAACACATAGAATATGCTTTAAACAACGCAACTAAAAAGTCTCGGAGGGGCACCATAAAGGTGTAGGGAAATAAATGGCCTATACGTACTTACGGACAGGACAAGGCAACCTTTACGGGCACGTATAGTGGTGGCAAAGTTGCGGTAAGGAGGACCAAACTTTGTCTTTACGCTGAATCAAAGCGTGCTTACATACCAGTTTTCGTGCCGTGAAATTTGCGGTAGTGATAACAAAAATTCAACGATTGTGGTGACTCACTGTCACCAAGTACAGTAGGGGCATTGTCAATAGATAGCTTTAAACAATGTCTAGAGCTAGAAGTTCAAGGGTTAGGTGTAACAAGTCGATCGGTGTAATATAGCCAGCTGCCGCCGCGCCGCGTGCCTGCGAAGCTGGTGTGTTACGCCGAAAGGCGGTTATACCGGCTATACAGATACAGATACAGATACAGATTGAATAGGACTAAACGTACCTGTATTGACATCTTGCGTTGAAGATGATACCGAACTATCCAAAACGACGGTATCTCTACCGCGAATCACCTGACGTTGCCCTGTGCTCATCTTCTTTTGAGCAGCAGATGATATATTTTACGGCTCTCAGTGGCCAATATGAGATGTTGACACATCGGCGCACCAAATCCGTAAGGTGTTTTTGGCACCTTGACAGACAGATTAGCCTAAGAGGCTCGGTGGGCGTCACTCCACCGTATAGGTAGGGAAGTCGTGTAAAGTGCCTTTCCCAAGGGCACAACGTCGGGCCACGGCGAGTATCGAACACGGGACCTCTCGGTTCCGAGTCCAACGCTCTAACCGTTGCGCCACCGACGCCACTTTTTTGAGTAGCAGAGGGACGAAAATAATGGACCCCGCCAAGCACACGAAAACACTTCACCCAACAAACATCAGGCTTGATTGTCTGGTGAAAAGTTGATTAAAATAAGCTGAAGTTATTTGCATGAGAAAGTGTTTTTTTTTTATATTATTATTGTCAACATACAAACAATACAATACATAGTGGTGACGCACTCAAGCAATATGCTTATATTCACGTCACCACTAGACATAAAATAAAAATTACATCACAGAACAATGTAACATGGGTAGAACTACAAATCAATTGTTAAATCGCTTGGTTTTAGAAAGATATAGCTGTGTAATAATGAGTATTTGAGAGTTGACTTTAAATGAAAGTAAAGGTGATCCATTGAATGACAGATACCGGATAGAATGCGATGTTCAATTGTAAAAGTCTGTCGAGGAAGCGTACACGATGTTGGGTGTAAATGGGGCAGTGAAGTAAAAAATGAGGAATATTATGTAATACTATTATATATAGTGTATATGAGGGTGTGTATATAGTGTTTGTTTTGCCTATTGTAACTTTTTTTTCTGTACGCAAACTCTTTCAATTCAGGGATTCTCATCCCTGCTGCAAGGTTTGCTTTTGGTGTTTAAATAAATAAATAAAAATGCTTTCGCTTCGGAGTTCTTCAGAGAATAATCACCCTTCAGATGTTGAAGAACAAATGGCAGTAATGCTAAGGTCACAATTCCCAGTCCGGGGCCCAATACAATTTTCGTGTATTGTTGATACGAGGTGGTACCCAAAAAGTAAGGAGACAAGGGACTTAATTGTTTGGGGCTATCTCAAACGTATCAAGTACAAAATAATGACGAAAACGTGCTAAAATGGCATTAATGTGTCAAAAATTGACACATTTCCTCTTGCAGATCTTTTGTTGTTTTATTTCGCTGCCTTATAACGAGCTACAGCGTGTCTGCGTGCTCCCAAATTCCATAGGATTCAGTACGGAGGTGGTACTGTACGGTGGCCCGTAAGTACAGGCATGTGTGTCTGCACGAATACCTTCCACATCTGCGCGAATACCTTCCTCGTCTGCACAGAAAAAACTTCCTCGTCTGAGCGAATACCTTCCACGTCTGAACACAAAAAACTTCCTCGTCTGCGCGAATAAGACTGTCTTCTGGTGTAGAATATGATCAACAGATGCAATTCGTGCAATTTAGGATCCTATTTGCATAATCAGGGGATTAATATATAATTTCGTATTCATAAAGGTTGACATCATTTGGCGAAGGTATGAGATTGTGGAACTCTAGTTATTTTTAGTACCCCCCCACACTCTTATATGTCCATAAGTATGTAATGTATATGTTTATGTTCATGTTCTGTACCCATGCGACCTGTACTTAGTTCTGTAGAACACAAATGTACAACAAGAATTCCGAGATCTCATACCTCCATGAAATATGGGCTTAATATGTAAATGTAAATTTCTTCTTTAATTATGCAAATTACCTCTGCATTAACATGATATATGCATCACGATGTATGTTAACTTTTGATTAAGTTACAGATGTCCCAAGTATGACATTCCCATCATTCACCATTAAGAAATCATAGAATTTTTGCATAAATTATGCAAATTAGGTCATCATATCCATAATTAGTATCTGTTGATGTTCTCCCTGCCATAGATTACATACATTACATGTATGAAAGTAGTATAATGTAAAACACTGTAATTATAGAATTTCCTCATTAGTTATGCAAATAAAGTCCTCATGCATAATTTGCATTTAGTCATGTACATCTCTCTCTCAGCTACCTACACACCAAAAATTATGAAAATATGTTGTTCCTATCTGGACTTATTGGCTTTTAAACATTTCGCCAGAAAGTGCCCTGCAGTTCCAGAACAAGCTGCTAGGGGGACCAAACTCACACCACTTATTCCTGACAGGATAAGCTATCTGTCACCAAAACATCAAGACCATAGCATGTTCAGGACAAAAGATACAAAAACGGGAAGTTCTGCTGCAGTACCAAGGTCATCCACCAGGAGGCCCATATTTGACCTTGACGTTTGTCTTCCTAAGACTTACCAACATACCAAATATCATCATAATCCATAAAGGCGTTCTGAAGTTATGCTGACCACAAAGTTGCGGAAACACAGACAGACACACAGACAGACAGACAGACAGACATACATACAGACAGACACGCCTAAAACAATACCTCCATTTTTCATCCATTTTTCATGGAGGTAATAAAGGTCTTCATTCTTCATTCATTGATACTGCGTGCGGCCGTGTAACTGTATGTGACCTTCTCTCGGTGTGTTTTTACGACCTCATTACACCCGACACCGGACACCATTGATCTTTTGTCTCCCTCTGTCTCCATTTCGTATCCCTTGGGCGACACACAGTTGTGCAGGGCACTACAGCAGGGGGCTGGTCCGCTGGTAGTGCTGTGTATTTGACCCTCCCACACTCGTCCTCTGTGCTGAGTGCTAAGCAGAGAAAGAAGTGTGTACCATTTTTAAAGTCTTTGGTATGACCCGGCCGGGGTTTGAACTCACGACCTCCCGGTTACAAAGTGAGCACTCTACCAATTGAGCTATTGCACCAGAGACAATGGGTGTATTGTAATTGTATCCAGAACGAAGGCTATCAAGTTCTATACCTGAATGGGTTTTAGGGTTGGGATCAGGCACGGTTCTGGGTAGTTTCTGCGCATTCCAAGAACGTACATTTAAGAAGCTCCCATGAGCCTTGTTTTGTGGTGAACTATTAAGTAAATAATAATAAAAAAAACATCTGTCGCAGGCGCTGCTCTAGATACGAGTGGGCCATCGGCAACCGTGCCTGAGCCTGACAAAATTCTGCCTGTTCTTTTGACAGCATGGGTTAATATTCTTTTTCGCGATTCAGACGACATGGAGAGGTACAGGATCCTAGAAGAGTTGGGTCAGGGCGCGTTCGGTAAGGTGTACAAGGCGGAACGTAAGGAGGACGGCGGCGCGCTCGCTCTCAAGTGTCTCACCGTGGACTCACTGGACGTTGGACAAGTCGTGCTGAAGGAAATCATCGCTCTACAACAGGTAAGACTAGTGCGCTTATGGTACAAAGCTGGAACCAATACGAAATATAAAAGAAATTGTAGGATACCTGCGCTGTTGGCAATTTTTCTTATTGAAGAAACAATACAAAGACGAGGACAAGGTGGGACTGCAGTCCACTCAAGTTATACACATATTCTAACAGCCCAATTAATACTTAGTCTGTTAATAAAAGTCCGTTGACAATTGTGGAAGACCATGACTTCAAGAACATGTTTGTTTTCTTCGTCCTCTTGATGTTTGTAAAAATTTAAAAAGTACCGATGAAAAGACCATGACTTATGATTTTCCTCGTTCAACGACATGTGTACGTCTTCTTCATGTTTGTTGAAATATTCAGAAAAATACTGATGACTTTAAGAGCATTTTCACTGTTTTGTGACCCTGTTAAGGCAAGTAGCTTCAAGCTCATTGGTTAAGGCTGGCTGGCCGTTACGTTTCATACGTTCTATTGTTTTTGATGTAAAATACAGGCAGTAGGAAAACACCCACACATCTTGCAGTTTATCGGCCTGATGACTGCGGACGCTGGCTTGAACACTCCTGCGCTGAACGTGTGTCTGATCGTGGAGTACTGCGACGGGGGCACCCTGGACAGGTACGGCAGGCTTTGTTTGTTTCGCATAACCGGTAAACCGCCTTTAGGCGTAACACACCAGTTTTGTACATATGTAAGAACAAGATACGTAAGACTGGAATGTAAGGTTTGAACCACTCACACCGGGAAGGTCCCCTACTCTTTTCGATAGGTGTGGTGGGTTCTTTAACGTGCGTGGGGTGTGGCTCTCCCAAACACGGGACCTACATTTAACGTCCTATCCGAGGGACGTCCCTAAGTAACCGAAGCTAGGTACTCATTTCCACCTGAGTGAAGTGAGGAAAGTCGAGTAAAGTGCCTTTTCCAAGGGCACAAGATCGGTGACATGGGTAGGATTCGAACCCGGGACCTCTTGCTCCTGTGCTGAACACGCTACCGCTACGGTTCAGAAATACTTCCAATGCCTCCCTATGCCTATTATGGAACAGATTCATCCTCAGTGCCAGGCCTAGCCGAGCGACCGTTCTGCAGTTGCTGTGCGACACGGCAGAGGGCGTTGCTTACCTGCACAGCAGAAATGTCGACCACGGAGCGCTCAAGCCTGACAACATCTTGGTGGACAACTCCGGACAGAGACCGATAGTTAAGGTAAACCATGTTTCATCGCACAATGTCAGTCTGAACATGGTGTTATGCTGCTTTTTGAGTGTGAAAAAAAAGCGTTTTTCAATAGAACGCAACCGTTCATTCTTTTCATTACCATGTTCTTAGGTCATTTACATTACAATGCAAGATCCTGGTGTCACATTATCGTAGTTAAAAGCCCTCCCGCAACCATCAGCATGGTCGCATATGGCGGCGCCCATCTCTGTTTCTTCGCCCTTGGGCCACACGATTGTGCAATCGCTACAGGGGGCTAGTCCACTGGTAGTGGTGTGTGTTAAACCCCCATACTCTTTCTCTAATGCTGAGTGCTAAGCAGAGAAAGCAGTATGTAACATGTTTTTTAAGTTTTGGTATGACTCGGCCGGGGATCGAACTCACGCCCTACCGAATACACTCTACCCACTTGGCCATTGCTCCGTTATCGTAGACTCTGAAAAATATATGGGATATACACAGTTGTGTAGATTCCTACTTTGTTAATACGAACTACGAGCCTAAGAACCAACGGCGGATGTACCAACCACTAAGTATCTGATACCGGTCCAGAAAAGAATAAGAAACAGTCATGCCATCAAATATCAACCAAGAATTGAGGCATTCAAAATCTCGTATTTCCCCAGAACTATCGTAGACTGGAACTCGTTGCCACCACGCACAGTTGGGGCATCATCACTAGAAAGCTTTAAACAACTCCTGCAATCAAATGTGCAAAGATCGAGTGTAACAAGTCGTTCGGTGTGATATAGCTAGCTGCTACCGCGCCGCGTGCCTGCGAAGCTGGTGTGTTACGCCGAAGGGCGGTTATACCGGCTATAGATACAGATACAGAAGAAGTCATGGAGTTTGTATCCTTCCTCCCCCAGATCGCAGATTTCGGCCTCGCGCGAGTCCGTGCACTGGGCGAGTGGGCTGTCAACTACGTACAGACCATGGTCATGTACCTGCCCCCTGAACTGCTCCTAGTTATGTTGGGTAAGGCATGTAGATGTAGATGATTCTTAGCACGAAAGTTCATCTGTGTTGTGGTATACTTCATTATGAGAAAAAGGGCTAAACGTCCTTGCCAACACTGAGTAGATTAGGATTTACCCAAAGTCACTGCTGAAGAATTACAAGTCATAAACATCTATGAAAACAAGTAAAATCTGAGATTTTATACCTCCGGGCTTCTTATTGTATATTTTTATATGTTGTTTACAAAAACAATTGTTGTGCGCCGCTGGACCCCTCTGTGCAAGGGGTCACCTTCTTGGACAAGACCGACAATACCTAATACACGCCAAAGGTCAATGATCGCGACCACTTTCACGCTCAAAGGGTTGTTCTGGGGCCACCAAAAGGCACCATTTTCACGCCTGAAAACACATATACAATAAAAACAAAAGAACGTGCATTATCTGCAGCCCAATAGCAAAACATATACCGAGTCTCAAAAGAATCCGTCCACCCAAACGCGAGAAATAGTTGCGAACATGAAAATCTATATCTCTCACAAAACCCTTCCGCGGAAGGATGTCTCCTCCCCCGGAGGTAAAAAGGGCTAAACTTTGGGTCAGTCCTTATTTACTCAGTTTTGGCAAGAACGTTTAGCCCTTTTTGTCATAGATGTAGAGGACTTGTAATTCTTCAGTGACTTCGTAAAAATCATCATGTTGTTGACCAGCTAGTTGCTCGCGTGCTTCCGATCTCTAGTAGCTGTGAGTAGGCCTTGCCGAATGAAGAAGCTCGTCTATCTATAGCTCTGTGCCTGAGTTTATCTTATATTAATAGGATCAGGCACCGTTCTGAATTGTGTCCGCATATCCAAGAACGTAGATTTGCTCCGCACACTGTTTTTGCATACGCGTGGACTATCCAGAACCTTGCAGGCCTTCTAGTACTTCTACATGTCTTTTCGTATCTTGGAATCCAGGCTTTAGCTTGTAGTCCGCTGTCATGTAATGCGGGGTATCTTTCGTTGGGTACTATTCTTAAGCTTGTTGTAACATCCGTGTCCATAACATCACCAGGGTCCGTAATATCGCCACCTTGGGAAATAATGTGCTTTAAGATATTTTTACTGCAACATACTTATGGTATGCACTCCTGCACACCTCAAATGTACATACCTAGGGTATGTTGCAGTAACAATATCTTAAAGCACACTTTTTCTCGAGGTGGCGATATCATGGACCCTGGTGATATTATGGACACGGATGTTACGTGTTTCAAGTTTTATATATATCTGTTGTTGTAAACAGCACAACCACATACTATCGTCACGAACACCTCCATGGCCGACGTCTTCGCCTTGGGCCTGATCATAGCCGCCATCTTGGATCTGACGACAGATTCAACCCCTTCACCGACGGATCCAGCAGATCCCGCGACAGATCCAGGCGCCACAAGAAAGCTCGTGCCTGCCGTGTACGTGGATGGAAAGCCCACGCCAGTGGCTAAGGTCATGATCACGCATCCTGAGTTCCCGGTGGCAGACATGCTGATGACCAGCGAACCACAGGGGTCTCCGGTAAAGGTACGCAAAGAAGACGATATTCTTATTTTATTTATTTATTTATTTATTGTTTGACTCAGGCAAAGCCCATAGACAACATAGACAACACAAAATACATAAATTTAAAAATACAATGTCTAGGATAAAAGAAACGGGGCCTATTTAAGGTCTGCATACCAACTGGCAGTATCGACGCCAGAACTGACTTCTAGGGAAGGCATCAGAGCGTAAAAGCAAACTGATGATGCCGTTACCGGACGCCAGGAGGCGAGCCGCAAAAGAGTGCGTCAGCTTTCGCCTCCTGGCGTCAAAGGTGTCGACACCCAACTGGGCAAAAAGATGTCTTAGATAGAAGGAACAAAACTATTTCATATTCCGTGATCCAAACCCGTGATCTTGGGTAAAAATGTCTTATTTTATATGCTTCTTCGCATTTGTATCTTACATAGTTTTAAACAATGTTTAGAGTTAGAAAGATGTTCAAAGGTTAGGTGTAACAAATCGTTTTGTGTATAATGTAGCCAGCTGCCGCCGCGCCGCGTGCCTGCGAAGCTGGTGTGTTACGCCGAAGGGCGGTTATACCAGCTATCAGCTATTCAATAGATACAGAAGCTGGTATGTTACGCCGAAGGGCGGTTATACCGGCTATACAGATACAGAAGCTGGTGTGTTACGCCGAAGGGCGGTTATACCGGCTATATAATACAGATACAGAAGCTGGTGTGTTACGCCAAAGGGCGGTTATACCGGCTATACAGATACAGAAGCTGGTGTGTTACACCGAGGGGCGGTTATACCGGCCATACAGATACAGAGGCTGTGAAAAAAGTGGTCCTCACCTTTAAAAAATTGGCACAGTTCTCAAACGTTGGTCGCACACTTATAGACTGTGTGTCCTCTCAGGCCCTGGTCCTGGCCATGCTGGCGGTTAATCCTCAGCAGAGGCCGACATCAGAACAGGTTCTCTGCAGCCTCATGCGGATCACGGGCGCCTCTGACGGGTGAGTCCTGACATCTTTACTACTCAAGAACACTTACAACAGATTTAACACACACTACAGTCCTGACCATGTAGTTGGACCACTTGTGGGGGCAGTTCCTGCATTGCCTCAAGGCCTCACTAAGTTCTTGTATCAACGTGATTTATTCCCACGTATTAATAGATATATTTGAATTATGCTTAACTTACTATATTTGTTGCCTGGTTTGTGTATTTAATATATTGTTATCATTGACTGTGCAAATTTTGTTGTTGTAAATGTGTTTTTGTATGGGGAGGGCAACTTGTAAAGGTGCGTTTGCACCTGTTTTGCCCTCCCTTTCACTTTGTGGAAAATGTCAATAAAGAAATAAACATCTCGTGTCTTTCTTATTTATGGGAGTCTGCTGATGTATCCAAAACCGTGCCTATCTAGTCCTATGCCTGAATGGGTTAGGATCAGGCACGTTTCTGGATAGTCTCTGCGTATCCAAGAACGTAGATCTTACCCGGGCATGGTTCTAGATTCGCTTGGACTGTCCAGAATCGTGCCTGAGCATGGTTCTGGATTAGTTCTGGATGGAGCACGGTTCTGGATGCAACATCCGCGATGTCACGAGCGCCGTTGTCACTAGCTTGTCTCCACAGCAGAAAATTAGCATTTGAAAACAAAAATCGAGTACTTCTACCTTAAACCAAAAATTGAGAAAGCTGTCAGGGTAGTTTTTCTGAATGAGAAAAAAGTTTCATCATCGGTCTGTAACTGGTTAGTGCTAATGCTATCTGCTGCGATTTTTTGTTAAACACATTCTTGTTGATAAATCCTGCAGGGTCGTTGTATCGCAGCCCACTCCACGATCACACACTGTGGTCCAGGTACCGACTGAAAATGAACGAGAGGAAGGAAATGATGACCTCTGCCGATCTCCCAAGTCGTGCAAAGATTGGTAATCATAAGTTCCCTGTCAGCTAAGTGCCTGCTTATCCCCAGAAAATCTAACATTCATGTCCTGCAACATCCTTACGCTAATGCTCCTTACTTATTCAATTTCAATTTACTTACATGCATCTGTTATGTCAAAACGTTTTCACTAGCATCCTCGGCCTCGTTCTAACAGTTGTAGATGTGTTCAGAATCCACAGATTAAACTGGCGTGAATATGCAATAAAGTTCATTGTCATTGTCAAAAACTTGTGCCAAGGTTTAAGCCCTGTCTGGTTTACATATCCAGATCACGTGCAATTCATTATTGAAACAAGTCGATTTTCTATTTTTGACAATTATGAAATAATCGTTCATTTTTTTTTTGTCCACAGTTTTCGCTGCTGCTGTGTAATGTGCTTCCGGTTCGATGGTAACGATTGCCTCGGCCTAAATGGTGTGGGCGTCTTTTGGCAGCTCCTGTTACTGCTCATGTATCTCGTTGTATTCGCGGTGGCTCTGGCGGACTACATTTTAAATGATGGCAAGCTTGTGCGTGCAGTAGCCAGGTGCAGTAGAAGCTGCTAGTGCGGCAGCCTCCTGTGAAGACTTTTCTGCGTTTGTTTCTATGGCCCAATTTACACTTTGAAATTGTCGTACTACACATCGCAGTCTACTTTTTTTTACCTATTTAATCTTCAGACAGCTGGGTAGCCCATTCAATTTTGCCAAATTGATTTTCAATGGGACCCTGCACAGATACAGTAAAATCATCAATATAACAGAGGAAAGAAACTTAAATCAAAATTTACATAAATAAAAAAGGTACAAAACAAAACAAATCATGTCCATGACACAGTCCAGGTTGGATTTTATTTTTCTGGAGGTCAGAGGTCATTTTACCCAGCTGATATATATGCTCCAGAGCAGTCTTGAAAGTTTTCAGAGATGTGTGTTGTGTAATGTTTTCTGGCAGTGAATTGAAAAAACTTACCCCTAGGTAAGCAAATGTGTGTTGCCGAGCTGTGGTTTTGAATGAAGGCATGTAGAGTTGTTCTGTTGTATACGTTCAGATTCGATGTTTGAAAGTTGAAACTATGACTTCATCGGTTTTATATGTTACGTATGTCATGCTGAATCATTGTGATCAGTAGATCCATGAAAAAGACACATCTAGAGCAAAGCATCGTCTGTACAGCGCTATCGTTATCAAATAATCTCTTTGTACCTCTTTTTTTTTTACTTTATTCTAATAACCGTTATGTACATAACATGATTCCATACTCTATATGTTCAAAGACGTGCGTTGAACCGAATTTTGTACTCTTTTAACATGTATGTACATACCTGAAGTGGGTAGATGAATGTGTAGTAAAACCACGCTTTGGAAAACCTTACGTTTGCTTCTTTTGTATGTTGAACTTTTATCATACATATACTCATAGTAGTTTTGTTGATATGCCTGAAATCAAATGTTGTAATTCAAATGTGACACTGATGGTAGCCAAACTATGGCCTTATAAAATGATCCATATGCACAGTACGTGTGCTCTCTGCGGTTTACAAGACTATTCCAAGAAAATAGTATAATATAAAACGTAGTAACAGTACAATTAATACATGCGGCCTGTGCGAGAAGAAGACTTGGTGTTTAATAACACTGCTGAGGAATAATGTAAGGTACAGTCATATTTAAAGGCATCCTATGCGATTTCAGGGCAGCAAAACTGGAACTATTCCGAATGAGGCAATCTTAAAGTTTATGATATTGACTCATACTACCTCACATTAGCACATTTAGATCAACATCTAATACTTTGGGCAATCAAAACTGCAGAAACAAGCCCCGAGATGAGTCCTTTATTTTCTGGGTGGTACCCTAAAAAATCAGCCCAGGGCCCTTCCAGTAACCATTTTCCGTCAGAATTTTTGCTCCATGAGGGTAAATATGCATTGGGATAGTGTGGTTTCAACTCAGTATATGTATTTAAATGACTAATATATTGGTTTTCGAAAAATCGGGTTTCCAAGCCCAAAAAAACTGCACTGGGTGCCTTTAAAGGTAGAATTCTGTAACGCTATACGTCGGCGTGTGACACATGCTCCCAGCTAACCGTGACCATGGCATCAATTTGTTCCACCACACGAAATAGGAGAGTGGGTGCTGACAACATCTCAAACCTTCTGAGCGTTATTTACACTCGGGCAATGGGGTTAAAACTTCAAGTATACATCTGACAGTTCTTCAGCTTTCACGAGTTTGACTTTTATGAGGGGCTTGTTACTCCGTGAAGGAGGTCAGGACCTCCGGACGGAGTGTTGTAATCGGCTGATTTTTCATGTTCGCAGTCAAAACACTGGGTTCTCTTCGTGTAATCGGCACGCAATTTTATACGCCGTCTGCGGGCATGCCCGTGTTGATGCACGAATGTGTATTTTTGCCGTTGCTGCTTTCGCGGTCAATGTAATATCGCAGACGCACCCCTACAATTACGAGGCGAATTGGAACGGTCCAGAAAAACGCGTTGTTTGGAATAGCGGGGGGGGAGTTAAAAGTTCATGCAGATACGGGGTGGTTTTTATAAGTGGTTCCAGATGTTTTTGCCCATGGTTAAGAGATGCCAAGTTTTTTGGAAGATGTTCGCAGCCAAAACGCATTCTGCCGTACGTCGCATATCTGTGTAATTTCGCATGTGGTGTTGCATTATGTCCGGGATGATGCACGTCTTTTTATTTTTACCGTAGCTGTTTTTGATATTGGAGTAAATGGTTATTTTCGAAACATCCCTACTTTTACAATCCTGTGGAATAGACCGTAGGTTTAGGCAGTTGTCTGGTAGCAGAGGTACTGTAAGCAGATATCCTGGTTATCTGGCCGGCGGTAGTAACACTCGCGGTGCTTACCGCCACTGTTGCTGGAATTTGGCTTGTTCCAGGCGCGCTTAATTAGGTACAGGCACCGTAAGACGGTGGGGCTGTCTTTGTTACTAGACACGACCATGATAGTCCGATCTTTATGTGAATGCAATGATTGTGTGTGTGTAATTAAAATGAAGTTAGAACTTGAAGCACAGTATCTTTACACGCCCTGGGAGCAGTAATGGATTTAGCTCTTTGTATGTTTTATGCTTGTGACGCGCCCTCATTGTATTAACCCACGCTCCTCCGCAGCGTCCGCTAGCGCGCTATAATTAAATCCACATCTGGGCGCGCGGCGGGGTCCCCAGAGCAACACAGTGCGGAAGCATTAGCGTGTATTTGTGTCCTGGGGCCGAGAACGCATTTTGCGCAAAGCATGCTGGGTAGCAGAGTGAACTGTCCTGGGGACGAGAGTTTGTGGCGCGGGCGGAGAATGCCAAAACTCCCTCCGTGGCTAAGTTCCTTCCGCGACTAACTCCCTTCTGGGCAAATGTAGAGGGATAACGGTACACCCTCATAGCGTCACCAAATGAGGTACTTTGTAAAGGTCCGTTTCATTTGGTATATATTACCATTGTGACAGCATTTTATACCCCAAAATAGGAATCTTGCGTCTTGTTTTAGGTCCCGATAGTAGAAAGAATGCAGTGTACATGTATTCAGATGGCCGCCGTGTAACGTTACGTACTAGCGAGCGCGCACGACAATACCGCCAGAGTAGAGTAGGTTATCCTAACCCTTTAGATAGCGCAAAGAAAACAAAAACGACAGATTTGCATTTAAGAAAGTTTATTTTCCATAGCCTGGGCTAAGCCACGATCTATAACCTATGGCTTCTCCACGGGCGCTGGGGACGAGCGTGGTATTAACCGTTGCCTAATTATAATGTCTGCACAGTAGGTCTGGCGTTGACGCTTGGGATTTTGTTGAAATATATAAAACTTCACGGAGAATTGTCGCCTATGGCTTCTTGTTTTTTTTTATTTTAGGCCATGTTGATTTGATTATATGGATGACATCCTCTGGGAACCCCAAAACTGATGCGAGCGTGCGAATAAAAAAAGTTTTGCAAAAAAAAAGTTGCTTTCACTATGAAATCTACGTGGTCATGAAGGTTGAACAAATGGCACAGAATATGTTATGGCGAATAATCTACTCTTCGAATTCATTTCTTTACATTTTTGTCTTTTTTCCTTTGATTTTGGCATTCTACGACATTGGTATCGTTTCTAAATGTTTTCCTTGCAACTTATGGTATATTTTTGCTCATTTAGCAACTGTTTTGCACGATTTACATATGTTGATACATTTACATATTTACGTATGGTTGAAAACTTTTTTTTTGAAACGGCCGAAAATTCATGCGCGCGCGGATGACATCCATATAATCAAATCAACATGGCCTTACTGTCGCCATGACGACGTTTCCGTTAGGTAGTTAACAGGTTGCACGTTTCTGTTCCCGCGTTGTTTGTGAAAGGATTAAGAACGTCCCACGTACCAGACTGGTTACGCCTAGTCTCCGTCCGACTCCTTTGCAGGCTGAATAAATAGTAGAAATTGGTCTAAAAAGGGGATTTAATAACCAGCCCTACCAAGACCAGTTATCACGTACCATACTATAAAATTAATAATTTTTACACTGATGATGTTGATATTGTAAATATTGTTAAGTTCATTTTACTCGCTTAATATTTAGTTGTCTATAAGTTAAATGTGAAATACTCACTTGTCTAGTTGTGTATTTGTTAACTGTGCAATTTTTGTTTCTTTGTTTTTAAACTAGCATATAATTCAGCACTACTTATTAGTTGCGCTGCAACATGCTAGCGATTGTACTTTTCTATCTTCGATCAATCAATAAACAATTATTATTATTATTATTATAATTGGCCAGTTGAGTTGGCCGGCCAGAGGGGGTGATTTTTGCCATGAAGGCTAACTAGACCCTCTCTGGCCGGCCAACACCTCTGGACAATTGAATCCCCTTTTCAGGCCGATTTCTGCTATTTATTCAGGCTGCAAAGGAGTCTGGTGGAGACTAGGTTATGCCACATTACTTGTACACTTTCACCGCAGCACTCAGTTTGTTTGTGGAGGATTAGGAGCGCCACGCACCGAAGGACTAATTACAGGCCTCGAAATTAACTTTTCTTCCTATATTATCCCAGCACTGTCCCAAAAATAAATGTCAAGAAGTGTCCCGAACTGAGAATTAAACTGTCCCAACCTGTTTTTTTTAAAGTATTGTATGACTTCAACTTGAAGCCAACTTTATTTTGCTTTTGTTCACTCCCAAGCGCACTACAATTTCAGAGTAGACAGGAAATTTGGGGGGGCTATTCTGAATCCAAAAACCGGGGCGTGTGCCTGATAAACAAAAGGAGAGCTGATATTCTGATGTTGATTATTTTTCCATTGTCCAAAAAAATGTCCCAAAGTGTCGTTTTAGTTGTCCCAGTCTAAATTTTAGTGGTCATCGGACAACCTTTAATTTCGAGCCCTGCTGGTCACGCCACATCAAACTTTCACTGCAGCACAATCAATCAATCAATCAATCAATCAATCAATCAATCAATCAATCAATCAATCAATCAAGTGGTTTATGAAAAACTTAAACTTTTCTCCAACTCAAAATTTTACTCACTAGAAATTTTGGACTGAATCACTCAGTCTTCCTCAGCTATCTGACCCAAATGCTGTGGACACGTGTCCACAAGTTTCAGTCGAAAATTTCTGGTGGGTCAAATTTTGAGTTGGAGAAAAGTGTAAGTTTTTCATAATGTAATTTACCAACTCAGATGAACTTTCATGCTGAATCAAGTGGTTTATTGGTAAAACGAGGAATTTGCAGCCACAGGCTGAATTACATCCTGTTGTACAATTAATTCATTTTAAAATTCATTAGTATACAGTAAAAATCATCAAAGTTATTTACAATTATTAGCATTAAAACTTGGTTACACATTAAGATCTAAAACACTGATTGATTTATAAAATTGCTACAGGGGGAACAACATTACTTTGACGTTCACATAACATAATCTCCAAGCAGATCCCTATCGGTGGCAAAAAAGACAGTATCAAATTGGCCAGGCAGTATCCATTAGCCAGAGAAGCTCCGCGGCCACCGACGGGTGGGGATCAGGACAAAAAAAAACCGGCCATATATAAAAAGGTAACGATCATTCCCCCACAACCTCTGCTTGGAGAGTAATAACAGACATTACATACAGATAACACGGTTTATTTGTGAGTCAGCGGCTTGACGGACAAGTGTGCGACTGAGAGCCGTATTACTGCCCTTTGGTCATGTTTGAAGAGCGCTTTTCCTCCCCTCTGGACACTTTTCAAAAGTGCCCGACTGAATGAGTCACTCTCCAAGCAGAGGTTTGGGCTTCGGCATATTTTTTTTACATTTTTTAGACATTTTTTATCGGGATTTTTGTACTGGTATTTTTATATCTTTATACTGTCTGGCAAATGAGTACATCATCATCATTGGCAGTCCAGTCTCGGAAGGCTATCTTGTCGCCACCCTGGGAGTGCATCGTCTACGGTGGCTATAGAGTCCGATGCGTGAATTACAGTCTTTTACAGTTGGAACAGATGTGTACAGCCTGTGCAATTTGATACTGTCTTTGCAGCCACCAAAAGTTCTGCTCGGAGATTAGCTAAAAACAGTATTACTGGGCTTTGGGCATGTTTGAAGAGTGCTTTCCTCCCCTCTGGACACTTTTCAAGAGCGCCAAACTGAATGAGTCACTCTCCAAGCAGAGGTTTGGGCTTTGGCTTATTTTTTTTTTACATTTTTTAGACATTTTTTATCGGGATTTTTTTTTTTTGTACTGGTATCTTTTATTGTGCCAGTCCTTCGGTGCGGTACTGGGTACTGTCTAATCTCCAAGCAGATCCTAGGGTCTCAAAAATAGAGTATCAAAGATCCAATTGGCCAGAGAGGGACCATGTCGGTGGCCGGCGACCTTCTCTGGCTAATGGATACTGTCTTGCCACCAAAAGGAATCTGCTTGGAGATTAGATACTGCCTAGCCAATTTGATGCTGTCTTTGCAGCTGTACCAAAAGATCTGCTTGGAGCAGTATTTCTGGCCTTTGGCCACGTTTGGAAATCACTTTTTCTCCCTTCTGGATACTTCGAAAGAGTGCTCGACTAAATGACTCATAGCCTAAGCAGTGGCAATGGTTCGGCGGATCGAATAGCTCTTTTTTTTCAACAAAAGTGTGTTCATTTCACAGATTACTTTTACTTTGGGTGTTCCGTTACACCCTATTGTCTTATCAAGTGAAAGCGCATTGTCTCTTTTTTTGTTCCTTTGGCAAAATACAATAGTTGCACCTGCGCTTCGGTACTCTGTTATTTTCTATACTGTGGCAGCCGTGTCTATTGGGTGTGGATATGAAGGCAATGACCTTCAGCTTGCTTAGTAGTCGAAAATGGAGGAACTTAGCCGACACACGCCACCTGTTTAAGGTGAAATGACATCTGTTGTTTTTAGTTTTCGGGTATGGATTTGAGGCATGAATGTCTGTCAAGTGGCCGTTTTCTACTCTCCGAGCAGATCTTTTGGTGGCTGGTACAAGGCCAGACAGCATCCGCGTGCCGTCGTAAGTGTGGCTGGCGAAAAAAGACACGGGTACAAAAATATAAAAACGCCTAAAAACGTCAAAAAGAATTAGGAGAGTAGAGATTACCCGGATGCGAGAAACTCTACCTTTTAGCGGACCAACACCCCGGCGTGTTATGTCTCTATTTGGCAAAATTCTACTTTCCTAGCCGCCTCCCGAAGCCTGGTAGAGGCTAATGATTTCGCCCGTCAGTCCGGACGACAGGTAGGATCTACTACCTTGCAGGCTGAATAAATAGTAGAAATCGACCTAAAAAGACTGTAGCTGGCCAGGGGAGTTGGCCGGCCATAGAGGGTCCAGTTTACCTTTTTTAGGCCGATTTCTAACATTTATACAGCCTGCAAAGGAGTCTGTTGGAGACTAGGTATGACCTCCTAGCGATGTCTCCTAGCGACGTTTCCGGGCAGGCCGGTACAACAGGTCCGGTCTGATCCTCCAGACACTGCAGCTTTGTCATGCAAACCACTGCGGGTACACAGGGGGGTATCGGATACACAGTTTATACAACAAGTCGCCGGTACATTTTAATCTCCACCCTTGGGCGGCGTATGGACTCTCTCTGGTCAATGGATACTGCCCGGCCAATTCGATACTGTCTTTTGCCACCCTAGGATCTGCTTGGAGATTAGTTGGCACTTAGTAATAGCTTCTAGCTAGTTGGGCTGCCCTGGCTGTCTTGTATCAGCCAAACCAATAAACAAATAAACAAACAAATTAGATAAAAAGATATACGCCAAAAAGCAGTTACTCAAGCAACTGGATATGATTTTGAAAACGTAAAAATTCTGACGTTTTCAAAATCATATCCAGTTGCTTGAGTAACTGCTTTTTGGCGTATCGTATTACCTGGATGTCTAACCTTCATCGACATAAAAAGATATAATCAATCCGCTTGAGGTAGCACTCTTCTTCACTAACAGAATGGCGCCAATTTTGTGGAACGGTTTGCCGAAGGAAGTTGTGACTGCACCTACAGTGTACTCCTTCAAAATCAGACAAGACAGACAAAGCATATGAAACAAAATTAAGCAGTATACAACTGTACAAGGCTCTGAATCGTCGACACAAGCCAAGAATGACCGTTCAGTAATGATTTTTGTATGAGCGGCCTCAGCTGGAAGAGATGTTCCTACCCGGCTAAAAGGATCTACTCTACTCTACTCAGCTTGTATCAACAGCTGCGAACCTCAGAGGTGACGGAAATAGAGAGAAACACCTGCTAGAAACACGACAGGAAAATATGTCAGATATAGCTTAAAAAACGGCCGGATACGTGAGGTGCAAAACCCCTTCACGAGCCTCGCCCTGGCCTGACGTCACCCGCCGATCGCGTATTGTTTTTAGTACCCCCCGTGCGGCCCTCACAAGTGGGAGCGAGGTTCGGGTTTTCAGAACTGAAGACTCGTAACCAACCTTCCCTCGGACTGTTTACGCCCCGTTGCCCCTGGCGACGGCGACCGCATTACACCCGACACCGGCCGCCCATTGATCCCAAACAGGATTGGTTTACACCTGCTTTGTATCTCACCTGAGGCGCCAGTCGTGGAGAGTAAGGGAGGAGAGACAAGCGGCGGTTCTTCGCGGCGATATTTCGACGTCGCGAGACGCTTTTTGACGTCGCCCGCTACGTTAGAAGATCGTCCGAAAGCCGCGCCGGTGTCTCTAGGCGAGCCGAGCGGGCTACCGAGCGCTGACCAGGTACAGGACCACCCGAGCGTCGAGCAACAGGTGGCCGGCCGAGGTTTACGGAAATCGCCTGGCTACGCGTGCCGGTTGTCACGCCTGTCGAGAACGCGAAATCACACCAGAGCGGAGAGAACGCAGGGAGAAACAACTTGTACTACAACAAACATTGTGTGATTTTCGGTGGTGGTGGCTTGCTGCTGCACACACGTACAACGTCACGTCCAAAGGGAAGCGAAGAAACAACAAGCTTTTCCTGTCATACGAGCGAGGATTGCAGATTGGTGTCACGCCTGTGGAGAACGTACTTACGCGAAATCGCACAGGAGCCGGGAGTAGAGAGAACCGACTACGGAAACGGATTTACGGTGGTGACTTCTTTGCTCAAACCAACGCTACGTCCAAAGGAATCGGAAAATCAAGCTTTTGCCGTCACACACTGAGAGGCAGGATTGCATATATTTGTGAGGTTACTACAAGAAGAGGCTCTACTAACACAAGCCGTTCTTCCAAACAGAGTGACAACATTTACAGTGACAGAAAACGCAAAGAAACTGTAATTTTGTTGGAGTTTTACGATTCCTACAAGATACATTTTGCAGAAGGACGGAGAGACCATCCTCAGGTACTGGGAATATTGGTTCAGTCTTGGCCTCTCAATATGTAGCTTCACCAACTGTTGTGTGTGAGTCGCTCTCTGTCTCCCTGACAGTACAACAGATTGCAGCAGCGATAAGAGAAGAGATCCCATCACCCATACATAGTAACTGCTGTGACTGCAGGTGGTTCTCTCAAGTGTGGAAGCGTGCCACGCGAATCGGGACGGGAGGGGGCAGTTAAACTAGTTTGCCGGTGAATTGCGCTGTTTTCAAACATCGCCCGGAGCTATCGGGGGCAACGTGAGCCTCACGAGACAACAGTCGAGTGTTTTTTGGAGAGCATCGTGACAAGGTGACAACACAACCCACAACCATGGGGTGTGGATCGTCCAAAGGTAGTGCAGCTGTCGTGTCACCAGACAGCCGTCCCCAAAATCTACCAGACTCGGGGGACACAACTGACACGCAAACACGGAACAACCAACAGCGAAATACTAGCACATCACAGGAAAGACTTCCCCACAGAACGACAGAGCAGGAAAAGAACCTGCGGAATAACCTGCCGGACTCCACAGTGTCGCTAGAACGCGGCAGGGACGAGTATGGGAACTCAGGAGACGGGAGAGTGAAGTCTGCCGACCAGATCAGCATCGCTGGTTCGCAGGACAGCGGCATTGAGACCTCGAACGAGCGGCCGGCTAAAGGCGGATCTCACTCCGAACTGCCGGATCTAGACGTGCTCAGGACAGGTGCGTGTGTTAAATATATATATTTTTGTCAATTTCAATATCATAAAGAAGCCAAACTTACTAGAACATGTGTTAACGTTAAATATATATTTTTGGCAACTGACTTAATGGAACATGGTGGATCGGTGAACTACTGTAATTCCTGATTTTTTCACTGTACTGTTATGTTCACTGTTTTCACTGTCACATCTGTACCGTGAACTTATCATTACAGTTTACAAATAATTCCTGGACGTTCTTGTTCCTGCAACTGTCGCCACCGTGAATATGTAGTTCCGTGAACATGTCCATTTTTCTCAGACCGTGAACTTTTGCTACCGTGAACACACACCTTTCTTGTGCCCTGTACGTATCCCAGAGGGGATGTATGTACAATTATAGAGTTCTTCCTCTTTGAAGTTTATCATGCCCACACTCTATAAAAAGTTAATTAAGCTCAAAGGGAATAATTGAACAACACCGATAAATTCATAACTGCTTTGTACGAGTACTTATTATTAGGCCACACCAATTTAATTTCTTGGTTAACGGATTTTTTTAGAAAAATAATGGAGCGGGCGGGCAAAAAAAAAAACAGGCCTAGGCATCCTTTTATGGCCCTAAATGGTACGATAGGAGCCATGAAGTCAACACACCAGGCTGGTTTAAAATTTAAACAATGAATTTTGAGCATTCAATGATACCGTTGCATTGAAAGATGGAATAACTGTAACAACTAAGAAGAAAAGGACTGTTTTCAACTGTTCAGGGCAAAATATGAGCATTTTGCAGTTAATTCTGATTTTTTTTATTTTTTATTTGCAAATCAGAAAAAAATGAAGCGGGCGAATCCGTTAACCAAGAAATTAAATTGGTGTGGCCTTATCTAAACGTAAAGAAAATCGGTTCGTCTTCCCTTTTCCGAGTGTTCCAATCGTTCTAGATAAGACGCTGCTTGCAAAATCAAACTATTTTTTATTTTATTGAAATTGCAATACAAAGGCGACCTTGGCAGCAAACTTGAAAAAAAAAAAAGAAACTTAGTCACGAAAAAAAATGGAACTGGGGAACGGTGTAGGTGACTGAGATCATTGATTTATGGTAGATGGGATAGAGTATGGGATGTGGAGTAGTTTTGCTGAACCAAAGGACTTTCTTGTAGAACCTCCTTGGTTGGAATGTTTTTTCAGTCGTAAGAACGATGCCCAAACATGCGGTGTTGAGACGAGGGTGATGTAATAAATCAGCTTACATGGTACATAGCTAACCTGCTTTTCAAGATTTCAAGACGGATTTATTGCTTTTTCGCAGTTAAAAAAATGAATTTTAAACCAATTTACAAAACATCGGTCCATTAAAACTACAGGTTTGCATTCTAATATAAGTTATATAGGCGCAGGATTAACAAACCAGTTAAAATACATGTTTCATACATTATGAATTTTTGATACAGAACACTGTACTAAAAAGACAACAGTCAGGGATTCAGTCCATAGTTATTGAGTAGTTGGACCATAAACGGTGTAGGCGAGTTCTTGTATCTATTCGTGCTCTCGGACAGTCTAGCATCTCGCTGTTTGTCGCTATAGCCAGTTATTTGTGATCTCTGTGGAGGTAGCCATAGAGGTCACTCATCTAGTATCATCATTACTGTTATTAGACCACCTTAATGCAAATGTATGCCAAGATGGAAACAAACGGAGGTGCAAAAAAATGCAGACGTGTAAGGAATACATTCAGAGATGGTGCTCTGCATAGTAAACAGAATTAGACTACAGCATTATATATTTTACTTCCAAATGACGATATGAAATTTTCCTAACAGAGAGTGATGATGGCAATGTTGCAAAAGTGGCCGAATAGATAAATATAAAACATAGAGATATTAGAAGAAGTTATTTATATTCATATAGTTATATCTGGTGTTGTCGGACGGCGTATGTTCCAGGGTAGCACCTCCAATGAAACTCAATAATAGCCTGGGACTACCCTTAAAAGCCCTGCTCTTACCTGACATGTAAAAGGCGCCCCATGACTGACATATTTGGGGTATATTTAGTGATTTTGACTCCCTGTCGCAGCCATATCCCCACTCGGGTACCCGCGCGTTTGTTTACCGTCAATTCACCCGCCTTTTGTTCCTGCGGCTTTTGTTTAAAGTCACTTAAAACCCGAGTGAATGGCGCTGGATGGGATCGGGGATCGGATGTGTTGACTCAGAAACTTAAAGCTATTTTAGTTCCGGTGAAAACTGTTTGGGTATTGTGGCAGGGGCGGGTGGGGGATAATACACTACTGCGTGCCTGACAAGAGTGGCGCGGCGATACGCACAGGGTATTATAACAGCGATTGACGAGAGAGGCCAGAATGACCGAGGGTGATTCTGTGTTTTTGTTTTCGCCGCCGCCTCTGTCAAAACAATCGCGACCGGCACAATGGAGAGCGACTAAACTTGGAAGTCGTCCAAGGCGCAAGGTTTACTCTGTGACTCTTGACTTTGTATGACTGCCATAGCAGAGGCGGTTTTAAGTGCTGTCGGTATTGTGGTGTAAGTGGTGACTTCCTGAAAAGCTCTCATGGCAAACTTACCGTGACAACTACAGAGAGATGGCTACACAGCGTGGGCCTAACGCAGTTTAGTTGATACATTTGTAATAAACTTTATTGACACAACAAAAGTACAGCGACTTTCGTAAGGTCTTTAACTACATGTAGGGCCATGTTGATTTGATTACTAGTATATGGATGACATCCGCGCGCGCATGAATTTTCGGCCGTTTCCAAAAAAAAAGTTTTCAACCATACCGTTAATCGTGCAAAACAGTTGCTAAATGAGCAAAAATATACCATAAGTTGCAAGGAAAACATTTAGAAACGATACCAATGTCGTAGAAGGCCAAAATCAAAGGAAAAAAGACAAAAATGTAAAGAAATGAATTCGAAGAGTAGATTATTCGCCATAACATATTCTGTGCCATTTGTTCAACCTTCATGACCACGTAGATTTCATAGTAAAAGCAACTTTTTTTTTTGCAAAACTTTTTTTTATTCGCACGCGCGCATCAGTTTTGGGGTTCCCAGAGGATGTCATCCATATAATCAAATCAACATGGCCTAGACATACAGACCGACACGGTGATATGAACACTGTGCAGCTTTAATCGTTGTTATCTTTATCTGTCGCTAGTACGCGTGTTGCGCGGGTTTACTTTTTGGACAGACAAACGATCACCAAAGGTATGTGCGTTTGCATGGAACATAGGCCGGACTCTCCCGTTAACGGTTACGCGTTAGAAAAGAAGTCAAACCCAACAAGTTACAATTTAGAGCTAGCTTTTAGACTAGTCACATGCTATGTGACGTTACAGTCAAACCTGTACAAGTGACCACCTCTATATAACGACCACCTGGTCAATGTAATCATTTTTGGCGGTTCCTTGATTTTTTTTTCCATTGACACGAGCATCCTGTCTACTGTGACCACCTGTCTACATAGACCAGATTTTATTGGTCCCCTGAGTGGTCTTCTTGGGCGGGTTTGACTGTTTATGCATTGTGCTTCATGGTTTGTTCTTCCTTTCCCTGTAATTTGTAATTAGCCCTTTGGGAACGAATTTGCAATAAAACTTATCTAAACTTATCTGTAATTCAGTCATCTCTGACCAAATTTACGATCGGTCCCCAAAGTCCCCTTCATCTATTGGCTGTCTTTTTCCCCCATCGCGTTCTTCAGGCTAGCCCCCTGTTGTTGTGATTGCACAACTGTGTGGCCCAAGGGCTACAGAAATGGAGATGGGCGCCACCCCTTTGGTCTGCAATGGAGTGGAACGAGACCTTTTTTCTTCATTGCTGCTTTTTGTTCTACTTCTAAAAACGGAGTATAGAGAATGTTGCACAAACATTAGTTACTGCCTGTACCGATGAATGTAAGAATAACAAGCCTGGCTCGTGCGAGGATGTTTTTCTAACCTAATGGTACGTGTCCCTTCGCCTTTTTTACAATCCTGAATGTGGATTTGAATCCTCCCCAACCGAAGTCAGGTACCCATTTTACACCTGGGTGGAGTGAGGGAAGTCACAAGGACACAGAAATGTCAGGAATCGAACCCATAACTTCTCAATAGCTTGTCTACTAGATGCCTACTGCGGCATCTATATAGGCCCACTTTACACACACCATTTCTAAGTCGACTCAGCGAAGTCGACTTTAAAAATTTCTGTTCACAAACGGGGCCGCAAAGCGACTTGGCACTCCCGCTGTGCCGCCCTCCCCCAAAGTCAACTCAGTGGCTCGGTCTTGCCTGACTACGCAGAGACGCTCAAGTCGACTTCGCCCGTTCACACACGCGAAGCTAGCGGACTCAGCACCCCGCTGGCCGACTTAAGTCTGGTTTGGATACGACTCAAGTCGACTTTCTTGAATGCCACTTGAGTTGAATTATTTCTCTTTACACAGGAAAATTTTCGCTCAAGTCGACTAGCCCAAGTCGTCTTAAGTTCTAGTCGACTTGAAAAAGTTATGTGTAAAGCAGGCCATATGTCATAGCTGGGCAGTGATAAATTTCGATACGGGTGTGATAACTAGCGGTATCACACGGGGTTCCATATTGGATTATCGCACAGGCCTCCAAATGTTCCATAGAATAATTCGAACGCGTTTAGAGTGTGCCGCTTTCGAACATTCGAACACCGGGCTCGGACGTTGGAATTGACATTGTTACAACTTTTTGGTTCTTTAGGGGCACCGAATCGTCTCAACTTTTGGCAAATTTCGTAATTGTTTTATTGCAAATTCATGCCCGAGGGCTAATTGCAAGTACAGAAGAAAAATTTGGTATAAGAACAGGCAATTAACACACAGAGAACTACTGTTAACGCGTTAACTCCGAAAACTGGGTTTGACATCTTTTTTTTAAAGACAGAGGAAGACATTTCGTATTGAATTGTGCCAATTTTGTACTAATTTGTGCCATATCCGTGTTGTATTCCCTATGTATTTCACTACTTTTTTTTTATTGATCATACACACAAACAGAATACAGGACCTAGCTGTGGCGCACTCAAGTTAGGAACTTATTTTGACACCACCACTGAATAAACAACGCCGGTTTACTTTAATTCGGCAGTTTTTCTGTTTTTGAAGGTGCTGAATTAAAATACGCTGCCGAATCAAAATGCACCGATGTTACATACAATAAAGAAAATAAACATACACTGCAAAACATTTAAAAATTTTAAATAATTGTTTCCCCACCCAATGATGTTTACGTTTATTTATTTATTTTATTTATTTTCCGTCATCTTTATACAGGGTGGCCCATTAAGTGATTACACTTCTTTTCAATTGGGCCCTGTTTTACACAACAAAACACAACAGTCACATACAAACAGTAACATAGGGATACAATAAATAATGATAATAGCAATAATAATAACAGAAAAACAGTAAGTAATCAATAACATCAATAAATCATAACAAAAAGTAGAAATTGTCCAGTCCAGTCATTGTCCATGTGTCCAAATTGTTTGTAAGGAGGGGCCAGAGGTCAGGCCAATTCTTACATCTTGGACATGGACGGGCATAGGTCTTTATATCATGTGGCAACCTGTTCCAGAGGATAGGGCCTCTATAGGAGAACTTTCGCTTGCCACATTTTTTTTTATTCCAACATGTAATGACCAGACGTGGTGACGGCACACTAAAGTTTTATCAACTTATATTAATGTCGCCACCAGCAGAGGGGACAAATACATGACAGGAAAGTACTCATTTTCACCTGAGTGAAGTGAGGAAAGTCGTGTAAAGTGCCTTTCCCAAGGGCACATGATCGGTGGCATGTCAGGACTCGAACCCGGGACCCCTAGGTTCCGAGTCACGCACTCGCACGCCACGCCACACGACCCCGATTGCCACATTCAGGGCGCACAAACGTTACACTGTTTTCATTCTCACACAGTGCCCAAAGCAGTGGCGTTTGACGTTCCGCTGGCCAACACCAGTGAAGGCAGCATCATCAGGAGACATCCGCCCAGAAGACTGCAGGTCAGCACCAGTTTATCAGAACACTTCTTTTTATTCATCAAAACATGAAACATAACAAGGACAGTGTGACGCTGCACTCAAGTTTACAACTTATATTAACGTATATAAACATTTCAATATACAAAGTTGACATATCTGTGCGCCGTAGTCCCACCACCCCAAGACATTAAAATGTTAAATCAAATTAAATGCTAAAAAAGCTAATTGAAACTTAAGATTACGTGGTAACCTCCTATATCTCATTGGCGGAAACACATCCGCAATCAGAGCTAGGAGGAGAATTTAGGCCCATTAACACGTACGTAGTATTTGGACTTCTATATCTAATTGACTGTTAGAACACGTTCTGTCTTGAGAGTTCATCTGTGTTGGTAGAAGTCATTATGAAGCAGTTTAAACTGTAATTTCCAACACAAGGAATTGGACTTACCTAAATTTTCGACTGTACAAACCCCATACATTATTATATACCGTGACGTCACGGAAGCGGTGGATTGCTCATTCCTTGACGAAGACTGGAGTTGTACAGTAGAAAATTTTCTCTTTAAGTTTGTAATTCTCTGTGAAATTTGAATATCGCAATGTAAATTAGCGACAGTTCAGCTTTTTTGAGTCTGCCAGTGCTAAAAAAGGTTTCATTATGTTTTTATAGAGACTGGAGACAGTCCCGCGCCTGACGCCCGCTATGCTGGAGGAGAAGCTGAAATCCGCGGAGGAGAGGAAAGAAATGGTAACAACCTCTTTGTCAATCTTTGGTGTACCTCTATGATCTAAGAGTCATGAACATTCGTCCTTCTTCCATAGAGCCATTTTAAGTTTGGAACACGCTACCTCCCAAACTTCGCACAGCTCCCTCCATTACCTCCTTCAAAACCAAACTCCAGACCTCATTTGGAGATCCTAACACTGTGAATTCTGACCCTGACCTCCCGATGTAAATATTACTCTTTTAGTGCACCTTAGCTAAAGTCGTTATACATTTATGTATAGTAAATCCTATGCATCTTACGAGTTGATGATTTTGATTCCTGTACTCATTTTAAGTAGCTTGTTGTTTTGTCTCCAGGGTTAGTCCTTTATACTATTATAGCTGAACCAATATATAGCCGAAGCATAAACCTCTTGTTGGAGAGTAATTTAGGAAATTCAAGAATGTTTTTTTGCCAGCATCGTTCATTATAGGTTAGATAGAACACGTCGATAAAGGTTAGACATCCAGGTAATAAGATACGCCAAAAAGCAGTTACTGGATATGATTTTGGAGACACTCAGACGTTTCAGGTAGCATCTACTACCTTTCGTCAGTGACATTAAGAGAGCAGACATAATCTATATAGCTAGATAGAACACGTTCATGCTCCGCACTTGTACATGCGCAGATTTCTGCTGAAGGCACACATTAAGGATCATTTAAGGTCACTGCCATGGAGACTTAGGCCTAGGAAAAAAATGTTGTGTTTGCTGTTTCAGTTCTGAAAAAATTACGGTCGGTAGGTAGGGATTATTTTTTTTGACACTGGCAATCTCTAGTGATCCAACTTATACAATACAGTCAAACAAAGTAAAACTTGCATGAGAACACGTATATTTTCCATGTCAATGTTGGAAACACCATTGTACACTCAGGTGACAGATCATGTCAGAAAAGGTCGATCAGCTAAAAACAATTGTGTTCTTGCAGGGGTCCATCCCAAAAAAGCCTGTGGTCGGCAGGTTTTTCTAGGGTCGGTCGGGAAACAGGAAACACAACATTTTTTTCCCCTTGGCCGTAACTCCCGTGTTCAGCCGACCTTCCCTCGCCGTTCGTGCGATTTTCCTTTCTTCACACATCAGCCGAAGGTTATCAGATCGCAACCTCCGGGCCTGACACATAAAGGAAAGGGCAACAACCTCGTAAAGACGTTCTATCAGATCGTCACACTGACAAGGACGCCGGGTTTACATATTTAATGCCGCGATTGTCTAAGTACACGTGAAGCAGTGTAACCGTCCTTGTTTCGTTCTTAGCCTGGGTCCCAGGCCGTTGCCAGGGCTCGTAGACAGTACTCCAGGCTAGCTCCTTGGCTCCAGGGCTAGCCTGGGTGTCAGACTGTTGTCAAGATCTGTATACAGTACAGGCTAACTGGTTGACTCCTGGGCTAGCCTGGGTGCTAAACTGTTACCAGGGCTAGCCTCTACCAGGCTTCGCCTCTACCAGGCCTCTACCAGGCTAATTCCAGTATACAGGCTAGCTCCTCCAAGGTTCTAGGGCCAACATTCCCCAAAGGAAATTTTACCACAGACAACCCTCAGTTAGACCCTGAACAACGCTTCTGAGTGTCTAACCAGGGGCTGGCCTGACGGTTTGATTATTGTTAGCACTGAGAAGTCTGGTACCCAGGCTAACGCCGGCTCTGATCCGTACGTTTATTCGTCAGGAGCTTCAGAAGAAGACGAAGTCGGCCGCCAGAACGTCTCGGAGACACCGGCAGATCAAGGAGGCCATGGAGTTCGAGAAGAGTCTCAAGGAGGAGGAGGTGAGGAGAGTTTCTGTTTATTTATTTTTATTTTATTTTATTTATTTATTGAAATTGCAACAGTGCAATACACGCGGAACAGAGGCAGCTGTTGCTGGTGTTGTGTCCCGCACATAGAAACAAAAACAGGACAGACAATACTCATTTTCACTTGAGTCTAGTGGGGAAAAGTCGTGTAAAGTGCCTTTCACAAGATCGGTGGCATGTCAGGACTCGAACCCGGGACCTCTTGCTTCCGAGTCGCGCACACTGCCGTTGCGCCACACGACCCCACACTCTTAGCTTTCCGTCTTATTCTACATAAATGATAACTTACCTAGACAGGACTGGTCTTAGTCTCCACCAGACTCTTTTGCAGGCTGAATAAATAGAAGAAATCGGCCTAAAAAGAATGTACTAGTAGCTGGCTAGGGTAGTTGCCCGGCCATAGAGGGTCCAGTTAGCCAACTCCCCTGCCATCTACAGTCTTTTTAGGCCGATTTCTACTATTCATTCAGCCCGCAATGGAGTCTGGCGGATACAAGCTAGCCTCGTGATAGGATTCCAATCCCTACAAATTAAGGGTGTTTATCGGTAGCCTCCTTCGCAGTCTTGTTGGGCGTGGGCGTTATTTTTGTGAGCGACGCGAGTAATATGCGGCCGCGAGGGACGATTTGCTGCCGAGGGAGTTTTGCTGGAGCGGGAAACCTTCTCTCCGCGGCAAAAACTCCCTCGGCAGCAAATCGTCCCTCGCGGCCGCATATTACTCGCGTCGCTCACAAAAATAACGCCCACGCCCAACAAGACTGCGAAGGAGGCTAGTTCATCGGCAGTTTTTGGTTGAAATAAACCAGACAGTGTCATTAGCTATAGGTTTGTGTGTCAACTGATCTTCACATAAAGGTCTTCTGCTCCGCTTTGCTTTGTTCAAACCAGGTCACGTCTCGGCAAAAGGGAATGCCGTCATCATCACTCACGTGGAACTTGTTTAATGAATGAAGACCTTTATTGTACATTTGTGTTCTACAGAACTAAGTACAGGTCGCATGGGTACAGAACATGAACATACACATATACATTACATACATATGAACATATAAGAGTGTAAATAATGTCTAATTTCTATTCTTTTCAGCTTCATCTCGCTTAGTAGTGATTGTATGGATATATGCGGCTGTGAGATTACTTAGAGTAGGTTTATCAAAAGTTAAAAGGAATACAAATTTCTCTTTACTAGTCTCTTTACTATCTGAAGTGAGGAAATATACTTAATACATGGCTATAAAATATGAGTCTATCTCTACTATACAAGGGGCAATCTATTGTGAAATGTATTTCATCTTCTATTTGGCCTAAACTACAATCAAGCGCATACACGAGGGCCTGCTTTGGTAGTGATTACGAATTACGCAAAATGTTTGCCGCCGATTACGAATTTCGTTTAAGGCTCAAAGCTGATTACGACTTAACGCGCTACGGCTAATGCACTATTACGAATTACGTTGATTTTTGGGGAGGCTTTATACGGATTACGAAGACTAAAAAGGCCTGATTACGCCTTACCTATAAGGACATGCATGTTGGTGTCTTATGTAAGCCCATCTGTAGACGCAAGACATGTTTATAAATCATTCATTCATTCTTTGGTTAGTTTGTTGGTTCGTTCTTTCATTCATTCATTTATTCTTTTGTTTGTTGGTTTATCCGTTCGTTCGTTCATTCATTCATTCATTCATTCAATCAATCAATCATACATTCATTCTTTGGTTGGTTGGTTGGTTGGTTGGTTGGTAGGTTGGTTGGTTGGTTGGTTGGTTCTTTATTTCTTTATTTGAATTTACCACATGCAAAAACAAGTGGAAGGGAGGACAAAACAGGTGTATCAACGCCTTTACAAGTTGTCCTCCCAAACCTGAAATGATAATACAAAACAATACGGAACGAAGTCAAACAATAAACATTAGACATAAGACATCAAAAATCAGTAGACATGAAATATACAATTCGGTAAAAGTTATACACAGAATTGATTATGTACAAAAATTATCAAAAGTCAAATGGTTCGTCCATCCATCTATATTTCATTCATTCGTTCTACGTTTCTCCTCAGATCGACCGAACGCTGTCGTCTGCGGAGCGGAAGCGATGTCAGAAACAGGCGGAAATCGTCGCCAAGCAGCGCCTCCGGGAGGAACGGGCGAAACGGGCGAGGGAGAAGGTAAGCAACAGTTTACAGAACTTACAGCTTTAGGCCATGTTGATTTGATTATATGGATGACATCCGCGCGCGCATGAATTTTCGGCCGTTTCCAAAACAAAAAAAAAAGTTTTCAACCATACTGCAAAATCGTACAAAACAGTTGCAAAATGAGCAAAAATATACCATAAGTTACAAAAAAAATTAATAAAAACTATACCAATGTCGTAGAATGCCAAAATCAAACGAAAAAAGACGAAATTGCAAAGAAATGAACTTGAAGACTTGATTATTCGCCAAACCATATTCTGTGCCATTTGCTCAACCCTCATGACCACGTAGATTTCATAATGAAAAACTTTTTTTTTGCAAAACTTTTTTTTTATTCGCACGCGCGCATCAGTTTTGGGGCTCCCGGAGGATGTCATCCATATAATCAAATCAACATGGCCTAAGCAACAGTTTACGGAACTTACAGTTTTATTAGGAAAAGGTAACGTTTGCAAAGCAAATGCATAATGTTTACCTTCGCATATGGTCTGCTCTGTTAATTCTTAGTCAAAGACATTCATATATATGGTCAGACAGGAGTCTAAATCCCTCCTGCTATGAAATTGCAACATGATGTAACCCAACACTAGTTACCATGGTAACAGACACATAATCGGTGTGCAGGTCATTGAGGTCACTGTTTGGAGAAGAAGAAGAAGAGGAAGAAGAAACTGAGCAAAAACAATATGTTTTCCATCAGTAAACATAAAAATCAGCCTCGCAGCATGAGGTACATGTACAACAGGCCTGGTAAGCTAATATCCAGCGGCAAGGCAGTTATTCATTGGCCAGAGGAGTGTCCATTAGCCACCGAATATCTGCTGACACTGAAACAGGGAGGAGCACCAATACAAAGATGATATTCCAGGGGAGCTTCTCCGGCTTTGCATTGTGCAACGTCGTTAAAAAAAAAGATAACTTGCATTTTGTCTCATCAACAGTGAATATGAGTCACGAGAAACCCAACACTCAAATGTCACGTACGGCCTCCTTAGTATCTAACTCTGTCCTCAAAGGCATCCAGTGCAGTTTTTAGGGCTTGGAAACCTTTAAGTTATTTTTCAAAGCCAATATTCTAGCCATTTATCTACATACTGAATTGAAACAACACTATTCCAGTGTATATTGACCCTCATGGAGCGAAAATACCCCCCAAAAATCTGACGGAAAATGGTTCTTGGAAGGGCCCTTGACTGATTTTTAGGGTACCACCCAGAAATAAAGGACTCATCTTGGGGCTTTTTTTTTGCAGTTTTATAAAAGCCCAAAGTATGAAATACTGACTCAAATGTACTAATGTGAAGCAGTATGTGTCAATATCACAAAGATTGCCTTACTAAGAATATTTTATTTCCAGTTTTGCTGCCCTGAAATCATATTGGATACCCTCAAATGACAGTCACCATCAGTAATAAGACTGTTCGGTAATTGAGTTCAGCGGCTCGGCAAAATGCCTATATATAATTCATATTACCGGACATCTACTTTGTCTCCCCATTTGTCTCTGCCAAGGTTTTATGAAGACGTTTGTAAATGGGTTCTGGCCATCAAGATAATGACTTGTCAGTTCGCGTTGACAGCAAATCATCAATCTTAACTCCACACGATTCTGAGAAATCCTGCTGTTATACACAGGCTGCGTTACGTGTAACGTTATCTGTATTCTATTCTTTTGTTGTGAGCTAGCTGTACCTAACCCAGCGGGTATGTTTGTACAATAAAGGTCTTCATTCATTAAAGCTAGGAAAGCCACCATCATAGCGTTAACTATCCTGAAACTTACCACAATCTGTGTACTAAGTTAGACCATGGAAAAAAAGGCTGTTCTTTTTTCGTTTTGGCATCAGATCAGACCCAAAGTATGAAGCTAGAAAGGTAACATTTGCAAAGCCATGCCAATTTTCCCCCAACAACCTCTGCTTCAAGAAAATAGTTCTACCAGCATTAATACCTCATATCTCTAACATTTGCGCCAGAAACACGCGGCTGGTGTTCGGGTTACTCTACATGAAAGACAGTGACCTAGATTTCAGATGCATAATATCACATGGTCTATCCTAACGAACCACTTCTGTTTATTCTTACTCAAACCAAGGACGTTTTGAAGCTCCTTGCTCAAACACATTCATGTATTTGGTGACCAGCCCCTCCAACTCAGTCCTGCCACTTGCTACATAATTAGGTAATATACGGTAATCCAACACCACAGGGTGTTTGCTGCAGCGCCAATTACCATGGTGACAGCCGTCTGGTCCAGGGCAATGACCTTCCAAACGCGACAAATACTATAAGGTCAATGTCTGGGATATTGACCTTATAGTATTTGTTTGGAAGGTCATTGACCTTATTTTTTTGGAACGGTAGAAGAATAAAAGGAAGAAACAAAATTAAAAATTGATGACGATCTACCTTTTTCTGTCCTCGGCAGGCGCAGCGGCTATCCAGTATGGAGGACTCTGATCTGAACTACGAAATGGAGAACGATGAAAACTTTAACGCTGACGACGGTGAGTCGAGCTGTCGACGTTTCTGAACTGTTTTCCGTGTTTTGTCTCTTCTTTTTATGGGTTCACCACACCACGAAGTGGTGTGGTGAAACCATATTGCTTTTTCTGATGTTTCTTCTCCTTCTCCTCCTCCTTCTCCTCCTCCTGCCATATCTTTAAATGGATTCAGCTTCTTCATTTTAGGGCCTAAGGTCCTGAAATTTGGTATGGAGGTACAGTGGGCAAATACCCCTAGGCGTTTTTTAAATTATTGTGATACAGGCTTTTAGAATGGTTTTATTTGAGTTTTTTGGCTGTGTAATAGCTAATGTATTACTGTGTAAGTGTGCAGTGTTTACCACATTTGGACATGAGTCATCACAATGGCATGCAAGGCATCAACCAATAGGCATGCAGCTTTCCTCTATTCTCCTTGCTGATTGGCTGTTGGGATTTAACTGGCTTAACTTCATTTACACCTGCACAGAGCCATGCCATACTGACAGTATGTCTGTATTCAAGTGTTTTGGTAGGTATTTTAAGCTTTCCTGCTCCAGCATTGGAATGCGGGCTATGAACGCTTCTTTTTATCTTGAAAATCAACAGTTTGCATTATGCAATCCTAACCAATAATGTAGGGAATAGCTATCCAACTGTTGTAGTCTTAGTTGTATGTTACTTCATACTATAGTTATATCATTGTAAAGCATTGTTTTCCCTTGTGTTTCTCATTCTTTCCCTGCCATGTGGTAAAATGTGGTGAACCCATCGCTATATTTGCTCCAAAGCAAATATTGGCCTTTCTAGTTTGGTGTTAAATTTACAACGTAACCAATGGATCAATACCAGAATTGTTATCACATACGTAATCATTTTATTTCTTTCCTTAATTAGTGTTATTGTTAATAATGTCCTTAATCACAATGGAGTGGGAACTCGAACAAGTCTTACGGCTTTTTATCCTCCAGCATATTCTCTTTTGTATGTAGTTATGTAGTTTCTATCCTGTTTTATCTCGTGTATTTGATATTTACTCTCTGTATATGATAATGGATCTTAATGATATTTACCTCCATGAAAAATGGAGGTATTTCTTTTTGGTGTGTCTGTGTGTGTGTCTGTGTGTGTGTGTGTTTGTGTTTCCGCACATTTGTAGTCAGCATAACTTCAGAACGCCTTTATGGATTGTGATGATATTTGGTATGCTGGTAAGTCTTAGGAAGACGAAGGTCAATGTGAAATATGGGCCTCCTGGTAGATGACCTTGTTTTCCTTATTCTGTTTATTTTATTTATTATGATTTTTCACAAAGTGAAAGGGAGGGCAAAACAGGTGCATACGCATTTTTACAAGTTGCCCTCCCCCATACAAAAACACATATACAACATCATATACAACATCAAAATTTACACCCTCAATAACAAGTAAAAAATACATCAATATAGAAGGTTAAGCATAATTCAAATACATGTATATCTAATAAGTAGTTATAATATATTGTATATTTTCCAGAGGACTCGTGGGGCGACCCCGCGGACCCGGACCTCCTGCAGCCTCCGCCGACGGGCACCACCATCCGCACCTCCGGGTCCGCCGTGTCCTCCGAGTCGGAGCGCATCTACGACGGGCGCTCCAGCCCAGTCAAGCGGGTCCACCCGCGGCCCGGAGCCGCGCTCAGGAGAGGTGAGCAAACCCTAATCTCCCAAAGAGATCCTAGGGTGGCAAAAGACAGTTACTGTATCAAATTGGCCAGGCAGTATCCATTCTCCAGAGAGGGTCTATACTTGTACTCCACGGACCCTCTAGACTCTGGCGAATGGATACTGCCCGGCCAATTTGATACTGTTTTTTTGCCACCCTAGGATCTGCTTAGAGATTAAGCAAATACTTCTGCCAAGGTTTTTGAGTCAGTAGGTTATTATTCGACTGGTGTCTAGGGCACGGTGTTGGAAGGAGGAGCCCATCCCGTTCCTTCCTCCACATTTTACCTCCCTAACCGAAGTCAGGCACCCATTTTACACCTGTCTCTAAGGCAGCAGTGGTACCGGCAGTATCGCCCTGGGACTGGACGCGCCCTTCTCCGGCCGGGTGACCAGCGCGCGCACACAGCACCAACTGGACGAGCTGAGAATTTGTCTTAGACTTGAGAATTTGCATCAAACTTGGTCTATCTATAACGTGAACTTGAACTTGTTCCACAGGCAGCAGTGGTACCGGCAGTATCGCCCTGGGACTGGACGCGCCCTTCTCCGGCCGGGTGACCAGCGCGCGCACACAGCACCAACTGGACGAGCTGAGAATTTGTCTTAAACCTGAGAATTTGCCTTGAACTTCAATGAGAATTTTCCTTGCACTTGACCTGTAACGTCTTGTCCCCAAACAGGTAGCAGCGGGACCGGCAGTATCGCCCTGGGACTGGACGCTCCATTCTCCGGCCGGGTGACCAGCGCACGCACACAGCACCAACTAGAGGAGCTGAGAATTTCTCTTAAACTTGAGAATTTCCATTAAACTTGGTCTATCTATAACTTGAACTTGAACTTGTTCCACAGGCAGCAGTGGTATCGGCAGTATCGCCCTGGGACTGGACGCTCCATTCTCAGGCCGGGTGACCAGCGCGCGGACACAGCACCAACTGGACGAGCTGAGAATTTGCATTAAACTTGAGAATTTGCATTAAACTTGGTCTATCTATAACTTGAACTTGAACTTGTTCCACAGGCAGCAGTGGTACGGGCAGTATCGCCCTGGGTCTGGACGCGCCCTTCTCCGGTCGGGTGACCAGCGCACGCACACAGCACCAACTGGACGAGCTGAGAATTTGTCTTAAACTTTAGAATTTGCATTAAACTTGGTCTACCTATAACTTGAACTTGAACTTGTTTCACAGGTAGCAGTGGTACCGGTGTGACAGAGATCTCGCACCCCCAGTTATTTCGCACCCCCCGGAGCGAAATCACTAGCGATCTCGCACCCCCCGGAATGATATCACTAGTGATCTCGCACCCCTTTGGTGATCTTGCACCCCCTCAATCGATTTGTTCACCCCGTATGTGTTCTGTTACGGCCTTCGTAATTCACAGTGGTTACTATATCAGATGCTACCTATTAACAAACACTATCCTCTAGTATGACAATACCAATATTCAGTAATTACCTTCGCCAAGAAGGTTATGTTTTCGTGGCGGTGTGTCTGTTTGTCTGTCTGTCTGTTTGTCTGCCTGTTACCACCATAACTCAAGAACGCTTGAATATATTGTCTTGATACTTGGTAGGTGGGTTGGTCTTGATGAGACCTCGAAATGATTAGATTTTGGGCCCCTTAGCGGCTTGTTATGGTACTGCAGCAGAACTTATGCGATATAATGTTATTTGTCAAATCAAGAGCAATCATAGAGAAATATATCACACTTCCCACCAGACCCACGAGGAGTCTTAGGTCGTACATGCTTACACCTGTCAGATCTAAGACGTCAGCGTTCAGTCACTCCTACATTCCCAGACTTGTAACTATCTGGAATAAGTTAGGTTCTGACCTTCGTGGTACTGGTGTGCGAGCCGCTCATCAGTCTGATATCATAGCATTTAAACATAAACTGGCAAAAGTAGCCTACAACAGATTCAACACTCAATACAGTCTTGATCTGCCATGTACCTGGACCACTTCGTGTGGATGTAGCTCTTGTATTGCCTCAAGACCTCACTAGATATCGTTCCGATATGGTCATCTCTTCCATTCATTGTTGTTACCTTGATTATGTTCATATGATATTTTGTGCCCTACTTGTATTATAGATTGTTGACTGTGTAATGCACATTCTTGTTGTTTTTGTATGTGGGAGGGCAACTAGCAAAGGTGCTTCGCACCTGTTTTGCCCTCCCTTTCACTTTGTGAAAAATTTAAATAAACAAATAAACAAAACTTCCGGTTTTGATATCTCGTGATCTGAACATGCTAGGGTCATGAATTTTGCATGATAGATAGCTCTTGCCCTGGGGAATAAGTGACGTAAGTTTGGACCCCCTAGCAGCTTGTTTGGGAACTGCAGGGGACTTTAAGTTCAAATGTTTAAAGGACGATAACTCAAGAACCAGTTGAGGAATCATTGTGATTTTTGGTATGTAGGCAGCCTAGAGGATGCTTGACATAATGAGATGACAATTATGCAAATAAGGATATAATTTGCATTGTTAATGAGGATATTCTATAAATCTGTTGCATGCCATGATAGGACTATTCAGACTTGTGACATGTGTAATTGGACAGGAGAGGAACATGGCCATATCATATTATGTAAATTGGGGGCTAATTTGCATAATTCATAAGACAAAGCTATAATTTCATTGTTTTTAACTGCCAGGAATTTGATGTTTGTGGCGTTTGGAGGGTGAGCAAAGCTGAATATCATTAAACATAATTTATTCAAATTAAGACCTCATATGCATAATCTAATATAAATTAAGGTGAACATCAGTTGGCGAAGGTATGAGATCGTGGAACTCTAGTTGTATATAATGCACAAATCCATTTTTGTTTACCTTTCATGTTCTTTTGACTGCAAGGGTACGTTCCTCTCGATTACAACGTTAAAGTATGGTTTTATCACACTAAAATGCAGTTTCAACTATATAACGGGCAGACAGAACAATTTTCAAAATGTTTGGCGGGGGGGTGCGAGATCACCGGGGGGTGCGAAAACACTAGCTTGGGGGGTGCGAGATCGCTAGCGATTTCGCCCCGGGGGGTTCGAGATCGCTAGTGATCTCGCCCCGGGGGGTGCAAAATCAGGGGTGCGAGATCTCCGTCACACCGGCAGTATCGCCCTGGGTCTGGACGCTCCATTCTCCGGCCGGGTGACCAGCGCACGCACACAGCACCAACTAGAGGAGCTGAGAATTTGTCTTAAACTTGAGAATTTGCATTAAACTTGGTCTATCTATAACTTGAACTTGAACTTGTTTCACAGGCAGCAGTGGTACCGGCAGTATCGCCCTGGGTCTGGACGCGCCCTTCTCCGGTCGGGTGACCAGCGCGCGGACACAGCACCAACTGGAGGAGCTGAGAATTTGTCTTAAACTTGAGAATTTGCATTAAACTTGGTCTATAACTCGAACTTGATCTTGTTCCCAAACAGGTAGCAGTGGTACCGGCAGTATCGCCCTGGGGCTGGACGCGCCCTTCTCCGGCCGGGTGACCAGCGCGCGGACCCAGCACCAGCTGGACGAGCTGTTTGAGAGAAAGAACCTTCCCGCCGCAGGAGACCAGGTTACCGTGGAGGACGAGGTCGACGATCACGACTTCTTCTCATGACCGGAACTCGGGACTTCCATCTAGACTCTACCAGGCTTCGGGAAGCGGCTGGAAAAAGTAGATATCGGTCAAAAAGAGAGATAACATGCCGGGGGAGTTGGTCTGCTGGAGAGTACAGTTTGCCGCACTCTCCATCAGACCGACTCCCCTGGCATGTTATCTCTCTATTTGGCCAATATCTACTCCCTCCGGCCGCTTCCTGATGCCTGGTGCAGGCTTGCGTTCATAACCAAGCAGATCTTTGGGTGGCTACAAGGCAGTATTAAATTGGCAAGATAGTGTCAACTTGGCAAGACGATATCAAATTGACAGGGCAATATCCAATACACCTGGCTGTTTGGCTGGCAAAAAAAGATACCAGTGCAAAAAAGGAAACCCCGATAAAAATGCCTAAAACATGTCTAAAATAAGCCGGAGCCTAAACCTCTGCTTGGAGAACACTGCTTTGTATAATAACACAACGCTAACTAGAAAGGTATTTGCAAATAATGATAAGCTTCACATGATCTAGCCTAAAAACTACTGCTCTGTTTATTTTCACTCAAACACATTCACATAATGGTGACCAGCCCTTTGAACTCTCCTGCCACTTGCTACATAATGTAACCCAACACCACAGGAACAGATGTCTGCTACAGTACCCGGTCACATTGGTGACAGCCGTTTGGTCCAGGTCATTGACCTTATGTTTTTAGAAAGGAACAAGAATAAGAATAAACAGAGCAAAATGTCTTTAGCATATTGAATGTGTTTGAAGATAGTGTTACAGTAAGTTTAGATCTTGTGGAAATCTAATTTATTATGGACCATAATATTCCCTCCATCGCGAGCTTTCAGTAAAGCGAACTGTGGTGTCAAAATGTATGTACAGATTTTATGTAGTAGATACAAAATCCAGATCTTACTGTATCATTCCGTCCATGCCTAGTACATATGTGTGCACCATGTACAAATATGGGCAGTTCCAAAGCATGTAAAACCACAGATTGGAGTGGACTGTCTGCATTAAGGTGTGGCATTCTGGCTTCAAGTTTGTATCTTTTGAGAAAAAGGCTAATGGAGAAGATGTTTTTTTAGCTTGTATATGAAAGCGTCTCTGCACAACATGCTGCTACTACTGTACTTAGTATTGAACAAGAACATTCCCGGGTTTAGGAAGCCTTTACCAGCTAGGCTTCAGAAGCGCCTGGAAATAGTAGAAATTAGCCAAATAGATAACTTGCCAGGAGAGTTGGTCCAATAAGGAAAGAACATTTGCTGCAGTAAAGATACCACTTAGCGGACCAACTCCCCTGGCATGTTGTCTGTCTATTTGGGCAATATCTACTATTTCCAGCTGCTTCCGAAGCCTTGTAGAGGTCTAGGTACCGTGCTGGGAGATGGCGCGTTACAAGACTGTGAGGCATAGTTTACCGAAATGTGGCCGATACATATCTACTGCAAATGGTTTGTCTCATCGTGTGTATCAAGAGACAGACCTGTGTAACCAACTGGCGAAGTGTATTTAGTGGTAAATCTGACAATTTTGTTTCAAGCTAGCAGTCTGCTAGCCTGGGTGCCTTTCTTCATAGTTACCACTGGCTCCCTACTGTTGCTGGCTACTGCCAAAAATAGGGAGCTGGCAGTAACTACAGAAGATGGCACACAGGCTAGCACTCTACTACAGGTAGAATCAATGTTGGAATAGGACATATCTACTTTCAATGTGAGTAAAAAAAGAGATGACAATTCAAAAACACTTGCCGATGTGGAACGTAGAAAAATTCTGTTTTATGCAGATGTTGTTTTCACGCTGCAAACTGTGTGAAACAGCATGTGTGGCATTGTGAAATAAACACTGATGTAACATAACAGATGTGATGAATTAATTTACATACGCTTTTCTGTTACCTGTACTTATTTAGTACTGCACTGATCATTGCAAACTGCCTTTAGAATAGGTGAAGGGGTGCTGAGGCCTGTTTTTATTTTTATCTTTTTTTCGCCCATCCGCTCCATTATTTGTCTAGAAAAATCTGTTAACCAAGAAATTGAATTGGTGTGGCCTAATGTGGTTTACAGGTTGATCGAAACAGAACAGAACAAACCACTATGTCTCTGATTGCCAAAGGTAAATGCTTATCCATCTGGCCCCTCTCCCTCTGTGATTGGCACCTGTTCCTCCATCAGTAGCTCCACCTCCTCCAGCGGGGCCCTCACTCGGATCTCCTTCTCCACCATGATGTCAAGGACGTCCTGAAGGTCGCCCGGAAACCACTGCACGGCATCCATGTACAGCACCTGGGGGGGGGGCATTGTGGAAAGTTAGCCGTTGGCTGCTAAATCGGTACGACTCCTTGTAGACAACATGCATTACTGAAGATCACTGAAATACTACCAGTTAACACTCCCACAGAGACAGAGCAAACTTTCCGCGCCAGTCAGGGCAAGTATGGGGTGATCTGGTACAGATGGTTTAAAACGTCACCAAAAATAAGCCTTAGAAGTGCATGTACAGCCAAACATGCGCAAGAGGGCCATAAAGATTCCATAAAGATTCCATATCCATAACAACCACTTTTCCCCTGTCCGAAATGTTTTTTCCATAAGCACAGGCAGAAAGTGACCAAGAAGGCCACCTGTCCAAGAAGACCATGTTACCCCAATCCCCTGGGTGGCCTTCTTGGACAGGTTTGACTGTACAATTTACTTGTAACGTACCTTTGCCCACGGACAGTTCTGCAGTGCCCTGTAGAACACAGCCTTGGCCTGTTTGGTGTTTCCCTGACGCATCTCGAACGCCATGAACCACCTCCACATCAGCACACAGCCCCGAGCGGCAGGAGACCCGCACCCCCGTCTCCAGCAGGGACCTCACGCAGTGCGTCACACCGGTCGGGGGAGGGGGGCG